CTCGACCACATGGCTTACAAAAAGCAATTTAAACATAGAAAATACCATTCACACATCAAAATGCATTATGTCGTGCACATCAAGCATGACCTTATAAATTTGTTCCGATCACATGACTTCACAAGGGGATCTAAGAAAAAAAGGACTTTCATTTATGACGAATTTGTCAGGAGCTTTTCTAGACACAAACAAATATCTGTGTAGAAACATATCTATCACGAGCTATATATTTTCTAGACATTGTTTGCCATGTACTTACAATTTAATTGTTTTATTACTTTTTCTGAAAAATAATATATAAACTAGAATGATTACATTAAAAAAGGAAACCATTATCTACACAAATTATTATATTTAGAACAAAAAGAAACTGCAATTAAACGGATTAAGAAAATGAAGTCATGTAAGTCAGATCCATATCAACGTTCATATGCCAAAATCCAATTCCGAGAGATTTTGGTTCACATAATGAAATTTGTTGGAACAAAACCCTTCGAAGGACTCCCCTTGCCCTAGTGGTACGAACAAGTCTTGGAGAGGTGGCCGTTAGTTACGAGGTCAGGCAAGGTGGGGTGACGATAAAAAACGGTAACACTTAACATCTGATATTTTATTCTATCACGAGGATGATAATTAGTTTTTGCATGATAAAGTTTTTCTTGCCACTCTTTTATCGTAATTTTTTGTTGTAATTACATCAAAAGTTGATAATCTTTAACTTCTAGTGACGTATTTTACTATTCATGAGCGACTTATTACTCCTTGCATCTCTTTCCACTAACATATTATGCTTAAATATTCACTCTCGTGCATGGTGCACGTTTGTTCCAAATGCTACGTTATGTTCATGTTTTTGGTCTTCATTGTGTCTCTTGCTTGTCATACTTGTACTAGGTATCCTTGTTGCACTGTGAGCCGATCAACTAACCAACAGTCCGAAATTTGCCGTTAGTTATTATTTTAAACTAATCTAAGTTTATTTTGCTCAAACTATTTGTTGCATTTGTGTCAAGGTCATACTAACACTGTTAATTTAGGTGTTTTCAGGCAGGTTCTACTTTGAATGTTGCAAAGTCCACAGAGGGCTCCATTGACATATGTGGCCGTTTTTCGAGCTACATGTACATGTAAATGATTCACCATATTTACCGTCTTTCAGTTTTTTGAGTTACGAGACCATATTCAATTGGTGCATGCAAAATGGATTCAAAATTGTTACCAATACACATATGCATAAATCCAAAAAACAAAAAATGTTCAAAAGATCAATGATTGACTATAGTTACGTATGCTTATTTGCATAAAACCCGTAAAGAGTATTTGAATACTTTTACCTATGCATATATACATAAACCCAAAAAACAAATTTCAGTGATCGAGTATTGTTATCGATGACAAGTTACAATTTGCTTGCGATTAAAAAAGAGAAGAATAAATCTTGTCAAAAAACTGCTTTCAATCGACATATTTGTGAGATGAGAACCGATTATTGAGCTTACAAAGTTTAGGGAAGAAGATTGATCTTTGATTAAGATTGTTACCTGTTTGATTTCATCATTCACCGCTCTTACTAAAACAAGAATCAGATTGGGTGTTCACTACTTCAATTAAAGAACCCTTCTTCAATAGATTGTAATTCAGTGAATATTTGGACACGGAACATACCATTATGATCTTTTGGTTTAGAAAAATATCAGAATGGTATATTTTCGAACTTCTTGGTTTTTACTCGTGCTCTCACAAAACTCAATCTCTCGTAATTGCGTTGGAATTCACACAAACTTACCCACGGTCTGAATCCCTTTCTGATACCAAATGTTAATGCAAATGGTATAGAATACTCAATGATAAGATACTGAAATTAGAGAAACACGAGTCTTTAAATAGGCATTACAAGAAATAGAGAATCAAAAAAGGATCACGTAGAAATACCTGCTTAAGAAGTGGTATCGCATGTCAATGGGCTTCATCCTACTACAGATGACTGGATCCTTTGCAAGTTTGATCGTACAGGAGTTATCACGTACATAACCTTTAACGCACTTACTTCGAGTACCTCCAACCTACTAAAGTATTTGTTGACATATCTGTTGGTTATTTTCCCCTTCGTCACCCTATCGACCATTTTGTAACCTCTGGACTCAGTCACTTGACCCTCACGACACACATTTTTGGCTTCTAGCTTCCTGTTTTTTGTATCTGGTATATGCACAATTCCTATGCATTCAAACACACATAAATGGTCGACATTGTTTTGATTCAACACATTCTTCTAGTAGTGTCTTGTTAACAGCAGCGAAAATATATTTCTTGAACTGGAGAGAGAAAAAGGGAAACAATAGAAGTTGATATTGCGCTTCTTGTATGAACTCCTATTAAGTCCTGTCTACATAAACTTGTCTGACTAGATAAATATCTATTGTTTTACTGAATCAACCGTTAATAGAAATGGCCTTCTTACCATTGGTTCATCAGATAAACTTCAACAAGAACATGAATGTGTGAGAATGTATAAACAATCTGAACTTGAAAAATCTGGAAGGAACAATCAATGGAAACCTGTAACGAAATCGAACTCCAAAGTGAAATCGAACTTCAAAAATGAATCGAACCTCAGAAACTTCAAATGAAATCTGGAACAAAATCAAAAACGAACTTCAAAAATTATTCAAACGAAATCAAAAGCGAACCTCAAATCTGGAACGAACTTCAGAAACTTCAAACCATGGGTTTCCCACCGGGTTGGGGTAAATCACCGCCCCTAAACCGGACGTGTTAGATCAAGAGATATCAGATAAGAGAAACATAATAAATGAAAGAAAAGGAAATAAAATACTTCAGAAACCAAAATTCAAATCATGTTTATTGTTAAATAATTATTTTTATAGAATAATTATATATTATGTGTTACATTATAATTATGATAATGACGTTTGTTATTTATAAATATATATAATTGTATTAATGTTTGAGATAATCATACACAAAATATTATAGATAATTATATAACCTTATTTGAGTTGGTGGAGATTCAAACGAGAACACCTCTATTTTACGAGAACGCGAGAACATCGTTATCACATGTGATAATACACGTGAGGGGACCCTATGATGTGCGGACGACGTGTTTTACGACTTAAGTCACGCTAAAGGTTGTCTGTGTCTATGATTTAGCATCATATGTGATGGTTTTGATGGATTATAGTATCATATCAACAACAACCTTATCACATGTGATGATACTTGTGAGAGGGCTTAGTGGTGTAAGGGCGACTTGGCCCGTAATCAAGATCGTATCGAAAATAGTCCGCGTCTCTGATTTAGTGTCACATGTGAATCATATGTGATGGAATAATAATATCACATGTGATTGTCTATAGTAAAAGAGTGTTATCACGTTCTCGTAAAATAAAGATGTTCTCGTTTGAACCTTTCCTGATTTGAGTTATGTTATATATATAATTCAACTCATATAAATAAGATGATAGATTAAACAGTTGTAAAATAAATCTCTTTAGATTTTGGCTATAAGAGAAAAACAGGAAAAAAAACATCTTTTTAAACACATATAAGACTAGGGTTTTAATAAAGTTTATTTATGTGCTCAATTGAAAAACAAATTTGTGAGAAATTTTGTAAAAGAAATCTTAGAAAAAGAGTTGGGCCTTGTTTGTTTTCATTAAAAAAAAAACCTCTTATTGGTTTTTTTTATGTTCAATTCAGTAAGAAGTATGGTCATTTAGATTATTATTATTTTTTTTAATTTTTCAAAGTCACTTGTGTCTTATTATCCTCTTATCTGTTAAAAAGAAAACCAACCCCCTATTTGTCTCTTATTATTTTCCAAACCTTTTAGCAAGGACGTCTCTTAATTGATTAACTTTAAACGATCCTTACCAAATTAATCATCAACTCTCTTAATTGATATGTTTTAATAGGATTTAATCGTGTTAAATACCGTTAATGACATATTTTTGTTGAAATGAATTCTAATTATATAATTTAGATGTAAATTTCGTAATAATGATGGATAAATAGGTGAAATTGTATACATTCATCTAGAAATTCAACACTACAATATTCTGATGGGTAAAATAGCTAATTTAAAGAAATTTAGATATTTATCAGATTATAAAAACAAACAGTCTTATTGATTCTACTTTCAAACTTCAACACTACCTTTTATCAATAAAAAAGAAATAAAATTTAGAATTCTATAAATCTATACTATATTATAAAGCATTTGACAAAAACTCTTAAAAACAATTTTTTATGTATAAAATACTGTTTATTGATGCATATTACTTAATATTCAATAGTACAAGTAAATTGTGCGTAAGTATAACTTGTTAAAGCTTCATGTAACTAACTGCAGATAAACGTAATTAAATAAATGATAAACATCTCATTTTAAATATAAAAAATCTAAAATATAATTAGGATAATTATTAACTTCTAACAAAATACTTAATTATCTTTATAAAAAAATTATATTATTAAATCAAACATAAAAAAAATAATTAAAGAAATACACAAAAAAGAGAGAAATATTAAATAATTAGTTTGGTATTAATATCAATATTTTTTTTTATCATATCTTCATATTTATATTTCATTTAAAAATAAAGACATTACGTTTTTTTTCAAAACCACATAAAACCGTATTATAACATCGATTGAGACAAAAAAAAACAAAACATTAAAATCGAGATATATCTCGCTAGTACGTGTACCATCCTAGTATTAAAAAAACAAACAATATCTTACCATATAAAAAACAGAAAGAGGTCGAAATAAAAAAAAATAAAATCATAAGCGGGCACGATTAGCCCGGTCCAGACCCATGCTTCGGCCAGCTCTACTTAAAACCCTAAAATAAGTGGGCTTGGGTATTGTAGAAGTCCCGATATAAAATTTCAAGCGGTTTCAGTTCCCGCTCTCAAATTCAAAAATCAACATTAGAGACAGAGAGAGAATAGCAGAGATTTGTGGGATCAACAATGGCTGTCGAATTTCCCGAAGAAGAGAAGCTTTTGATGCAGAAGGTAGCTAAGATTTTCGATGAAGCTCGAGCATCTCGCATCCGCAAGCTGAAAGAGCTCTCTGCTCTCCGTTCTTCGACTTCTCTTGCTCAATTCTTCGCTGCTTTCACTAAAACCCTAACCCCTGTCTTCACTTCCCAGCGCCGCACCGCTTCTGTCGAACGGATCGTTCAATTTGTTGTTATTTTTGTCTGCACACGGGATCCTAACAATTCTGAGGATTACGATGCTTTTTTTGAACAGTTTCTTCGTTTTCTCATCACTGGAACCACTGCCGCTAGCAGAACTTCCAGGTTTAGGGCTTGTCAAATTATTTCGGAGGTACTTGTCTCTTTATTTTTTAAAATTGAATGAATATCTTGATACATGAAATGTGCAAATTAGGTAATATCAGTGAAAATTTATGACTATTGTAGACCATCCTTAGCTTTTAGTTTTTAAATACTCTGGTAATAGAGCTTTCAGTTTTAAAATACTCTGGTAATAGACTTATGCATCAATCAATTTTGGTTTTAGAGTGAAAGAAAAACGAAAAAAATATAAAGAAATGAAGAGAAAATTTTGGTGTTAAAATGGACAGGAATCCTAATTTTGATGAAGTATAAAATGATTTTGGTCTTGATACCAAACCGGAATTCCTATCAAATTTACATCTAAAGTACTAGGTTTGATATCCGGACCTCAAATTTAGCAAATTTTGTCAGCCAGAGGATGTTAATTCCATATCCTCTAAAAAGATAGAGATACAATAGACATTTGAAGGTCAATTTTTGGAGGCAAAATTCAAAACAAGTACAAATTTTTGTTACTTCAGTGCATATGGTATGACCATGATTACCTTAAGCTAAGTAGAAAGTACAACCAACAGGCAACAACAATACCTGTTTCTTGTAAAGTTTGAACAGATTCATGTCAATTATTGTTGGTGACTTGGTGCATATTATTATTCACTAGGACTGGCTGATGCAATTGTTTATGAATCGATACTTGATATTTAATTAGCTTTGACATGCTCATTATATCAACTAATGTCTGGTTTGATGATAAAGATAAAAAGAAATAAAAGTGATACTTACTCCCTTGCTAAAAAGGGAAATATATATCTGAAATTGGTCATCAAATAAGGGTATTTTTAATTATAAAAATGCTAATCTTTTCGAGAAAACTTGCTAAACTGCATTAAACTATTCCAAGTACTATTAAGATGATGTTTGTGTAAAATCTGACCCAGAATTCTTATCAAGTTAATATGGAAATACTAGATTTAACCTCCAAAATCAAAATACTGTACTTTTCATCCTGAATCTAGGGGGTATTTATTTCTAACAGTTACAAAAGTATACGAGATGCTAACATTTTGAAGTCAAATGGTTATGACTCAGTACATACAGCTATTTGTTATAGTAAACTAGTAGTATGATCAATGAAAGCATCTCCAATGCATAAGTCATTATAGATTTTTATTATTTTACAAGTCTTTGGAGAAGGGTTAGTGCCATTGGAGAGAATGAGTTATTGAAGACTTTTTGTTTAAGACTTATTCCACACCAACCGGTTATTGAAATAGTAAGTATTTTCATTTTACCCCCTTAAATGAATGTAACTAACTTGCACTTATTTAACCATCTTTAGGTACTGCCTTGCGAGAGTGTACTTATTTTTGGGAATAATTAGGTTGCTCGCCTGCTACCTTCATCCAATTTGGACAGTTCGGTACCCTGTAATATATAAATGTAGGGAAACTTTTATCTTTTAGCTTATGAATTTTAAAGGAATAAAAGCAAACAAGAATTAATTTATCGTATTGAGGCCTGGAGATCTTAGGTTCTTAAAGGGTTGTTTGTTGGAGGGTGGCCTGTTTAATTCTTGGCTCGTTGCTAATAGCTTGATCTTTATAATTTCATTATGTTTCATCAACAATGTCTAACCTAGGTGGTGTACTTTCAAAGGTCTTCTCCTACAAATTGTGGTTGAGGGAATGGAATAGTGTTCCCATTTTGCAGTGGTGATACGTCAAAACGGTTTAGAGTTATTTAGTCTCTTCTAAACACGCTGCATTATTATATACAACCCAGAAAGTGGTGGAAAATCACTGTTTAAAGCATTTTTTATTTTATTTAATTACGTGGGTTGTACATGCATGTTATTTTCTCCATTTGCTTTTATTCTGTCAATAAGATGTCAAATTCAGTTGTTTGTTCTATTAATATGTTTTTAAACTTGTTGCCCTACATTTATTTGTTTTCTATTTGATGGAAATTTTACTGTTAGATCATAATGCGATTACCAGACGATGCAGAAGTCAGCGATGATCTGTGGGATGAGGTGATTGATTGCGTTAAAGTGCGGGTGGGGGATAAGGTTCCAGTAGTCCGCACATTTTCAGTCAGGGCTTTATCTCGTTTTGCAAATGATGCAGAGAATAGTGACATTCTTGAATTATTACTTGAAACATTGCCTTCAGAACAGAATCCAGTGAGTTTTCGCCCCATTTACCATAATGTACTTTTTTCCCTTCGTTTTGGTCTCTTAATCATGCAGCTTTTGCCTAACACATTCTGTTATGCCAAGTTCATGTTGTATATGGTCTTGATAAAAAGTTAAGTATACTAGTTAGTAGTTACTTGTTATTAAGCATAAGAGCCTTGTCTTTGACAACTATTCATCCTTACTAATAAGTTTTAGTCCTATCATCTCTACCTGAAAATCGAGAAGAATCAACATAAGGTTGAATTTATAGGATATAATATGAATCTGTTTGATGATAGATGGATGAATCATTGAAGGTTATAATTATGGTTTTTATAACTATGCTCAATAACTGCCAACCTTCTGCAATATAAGAGGCATACATATGAACTATTTGCATTTTTTTTCTATTATGTGGTTAGCAATTAGGCCAAGGGAATGTATGGAATACCTGTTGACTGAGCTCCTAGTGGATATGTGCAGGATGTTCGTAAAACCATACTGCTGTCTTTACCGCCTTCCAATGCAACATCCACAGCAATCATCAATTGCACATTGGATGTGAGTGAAGCTGTGCGTAAAACTGCTTATTTTGTTTTAGCTAGTAAATTCCCCCTTCAGAGTCTCAGGTACCTTCTTTCTTCATGTGGGTTGTAAAGCCTTTCCTTTTTCATTGTTTTTTCTTCCATGCTTCTTTTGAAATGCTTTATTGATCCTTCGGTAACATGTATATTGATTTTAAATATGGTATCACTCTCTCATTTGCTTTACTTTCATTGTTTGGGTTTCATTATTAATTGCATATGATTTTTCATATTACAATCATATTCTGCTTAGAATCTCAATATAGAACTTTGGTCATTGAATATAGGGGATATTGTCAATTTGCTTGACCTAGTTTTGAGCATTTATGCTAATTGGGGATTCTTAGTTTGCAACAACTGACAGTTTCATTGAATCTTATGATTGGAACACTATCCATAACTTTGAACCGAATAGATTTTTATGCTTATCCCTGAATCTGAATTTGGGATGATACATCTTTAACTTTCTTCCAAAAATACATGTGAAGAGGATTTTTTCAGTTTTAAATGCTGTTGGAAACATTGGGGGTGCAGTCTGTTGAGCGTTTTAATGTATAAACTGCTTCTGCTTGTAAGTGATGTTAACTCTTCTCAGTTGCTGCATTTTCAACAGCAAGCTGATTCATCAAATGCAACAAGAAATAACATTGTTTTTTTGGATTTTTTGTGCACTCTTTAGAATGTTTCAAACATATGAAATCTCATTACAACTATTTAAATAGCTTTGCGGTGATTCATGTGTTTTAATTACTACTTTAAGGAAACATGAATTATGTTCCTATAGCAGAGAGAGTTTATGTTAATGTATAAAATCATATAAACACTATATGTTCCACAAACAAGTGCTCTTAAAAGTCAAAACTCATAGTTTTGAAATTGAACTGTTATGGGTTCTTTTATCCCATTTTTCCAAAAAAAGCTATTGTTATACTTGTTCTAATGTAAAGATCATTCTGATCTCTATAATTTGCTTAATTTTATTAGTTTTGCAGTTGATAGACATTTTGATTTTAAGCTTAAAAAGACTTTATTTAGGACCGAGAGTTTAGAATTATTGTATCCTGGGTTCGTTTGGTTTGGGTTGGTTAGTTTACAATAATCACGTCAAATAAAATTTTAAATAATCTGAACCAAAACTTGTGGTACATCAAGGGTTGTCCCCTGGAGTAGCCTCTAATATAGTTCTTCATATATTATGATGCATTTGTATTGTGGACAAATGAGGGGAGATAATCGACACATGGATGTAACTTGTTAGTGTATACATTAAAAATTAGTTTATGAATGCTGCATAAGGCTAAGGAATTGTGGTAGCATCTAGCATCCTTTGATTTAACTTAATTTGGTTTGGTTGTCTATCCTTGTATACCTAATGTTTTGTCACTCTTGAATTCTATAGCATTAAGCAGAGGACAATTATCCTCAAGAGGGGACTTGCTGATCGTTCTGCGGCTGTGACCAAGGAATGTCTTAAATTGATGAAAGATGAGTGGCTTATGAAGTCCTGCGACGGAGACCCCATAGAGCTTCTCAAGTATCTAGATGTAGAAACTTATGAATCGATTGGGGTGTCTGTCATGGAGGCTCTCTTGAAAGCTGGACTGGTAAAGCTGCATGGCGGTCAAAGTATCAAGGAATTCTTGTCATCAGACAGCAATACAACAGAAGGTTAGTATATAATTACTTGAGCTCACACAATTTATGGCCTTGTACCTCCCTTTATTATGTCGTGTTATAAGTTTCCCTCTGAGGAGTCAAGAAGATAGGAAGGAATATAGTACGATTATCCAAGGTTTTTGTAGCAACTTCTGAATGCAAATATCGTAAACAAGAGGGATCAATGTCAGCACTGTACATTTTTTCAATTTCTTGTACCATTTTTCTTTTTAGAATCTCTGGAAATAATGTGTAAAATTCTTACTTGTATGAGGGGTAACATATGCTGCCATGTCCTTCAGATAGTATTTTTGTTTTTTTTTGGGATGGTTTAGCATGTGATATATTTCACTCTTCGTTGTGAAAGGTAATAGAATTCACTTTGGCCTTTAAAAGATTTGAGATTTAGCATATAGCAAGGGAAATTTATGTTAGTGCACTTATGCAAGTTGATTTTTAATTTTATTTTTTGAGTTGTAATTCACACAGTTCTGGAAATGTTCTGTTCAGGTTAAGATCTAAGCGTTTGTTGTTATTAACTGTCATCAGTTTGCTAGCATATCTAATGTTACATTTTAAAGAAGGCAATTGCAATGATGTCCAATGAATTTATGGTTTTGCTTTTGTGTATATCAGGGAGCTGTACCCAACTAGTGGATGCAGAAGTTGCTTTGTATTTGAGGACTTTGTGCAAGCATTTACAGACAGAGGCACAGGTATTTAGTGACAATTTACTTGTCAATTCTTTAAAGTGAATAATGTAGTTGCTCGATTTCGAATTGTGTTGACGAATCTATGCCAAATTTTGTTTTCTCTGACATGCATGCAGTGATTGTTGATTAGCATACTCTGGAAGTACATTGTAAAATAATATGGTAGTGGGAGTGTATTTCATCTAGAGATCTTTTTATGGCTGGCTGAATTGATTTACAGTTATTTTTGGGAAGGATCTTTGTTTGATTGTTTGTGTTGCTTTGATTTTGTATTGTGTTTTGAGATCTTTTTTTATGGTTGCATTGGATGGAAAGGAGAAAACAGTCATTTTTGCTGATTTTACTTTGACCTGAGATATATAGTGTTTTGTTTGTCCATAAGACCTGCAACTTTGAGCCTATATGCATTAAAGCATTTATCCATTAGTCAAATATTCCAATTAAAGCTTTAGCGGTTCTAGATTACATCATGATAAATGGAGGAAATGTTCTTTGTATCAAATTAGTTTCAGATAAAAGCAAAATTGTATGGATCAAAATGATTAGTTAAACAGCCATGTTGAGGCAAATGAACAATTTATTTTAAAGATTTCCAAAAAGGAATTGTTTCAGTTAAACATGGCATCCCAAATGGCATATCATTGCGAACTTTGTGACCGAGGAGTGATTGTTCAAATTTTAAGCATCGTAGGAATGACATGTTAATTATCAGGACTCTAGAATATACCGTTATTCAGCAGCTTTTATCTCAATATGGTAGTTGGAATCTATTCATTACGCTTTAACTTACAGCAGCTTAACTAAGAGCACTAAAAAGATTTGGTTCATTCATACAAAATTATGGGGAGTGAGATTCTTATTGCACTCATTCATGGTGAAAACAGGCAAAGGGATCCGATGCAGCTATGACTTCAGGCACTGAAGCAGCCGTATATGCATCAGAAGCTTCAGATAGTAATGAGCTTCTGGAGAAGATTCTTCCTGAATCTGTTTCTGAGTACATCGAGTTGATTAAAGCTCATATTGTTGCTGGTGAGAAAACTAACAATGTTATATAACCTTATACCCTGAACCTATACAATCTAACTCTTGATTATTTCAGGACAAACTAATCGGTTTGTAGCTCGACAACTGCTTTTACTTGGGTCAATGCTTGATTTCTCTGATGCTACAAATAGGAAGGTTGCTGCCGTCTTTGTGCTAGACTTGCTAAACTGCCCACTTCAGCATGAGATAGATGATGATGGGAATAAAGTTGTTATAGGAGATGGCATTAGTCTGGGAGGAGAACCAGACTGGGCTGATGCAGTCTCTGGGTTGGCTAAAAGAGTACACGCCACTCCAGGTGAATTTGAAGAAGTCGTTTTAGGGGTTGTAGCTGAGCTTGCTAGACCTTGCAGAGAAAGGACAGCAGACTTCTTGGACTGGATGCATTGTCTTTCTGTCATTGGTCTTCTTTTGGAGAACACAAAATCTTTTCGTTGGATGCATGGAAAGGCCATTGAACCAGCAGAATTACTGCATTCTTTATTGCTTCCAGGGGTACGTTGTGGATATTTCCTTCTTGCTATCCACTTCTCTTTCTTTAAATCTAATTCTACTTCGCAATGCAGGCCAAACACATTCATTTGGATGTCCAGAGAGCTGCTATCCGGTGTTTAGGTCTTTTTGGGATTCTGGAGAGAAATCTCACTGAAGTACTAATCAAGCAGTTGAGGCTTTCCTTTGTTAAGGGACCATCTCTAGTGAGTAGCATGGCTAGTAAAGCTTTGATGGATCTTGCAACATGGCATGGTCCCCAGGAAGTGGACAAAGCCATGAACCAGAGTCTGTCATCACAGTTCCAAGATCATGCCAAAACTATTCATCCTGTTGATTGGAGCGATACAAATGAGGACTTGAATATAGAATTAATTGATCTGCTATATGCAGGGTTTGATAGAAATGATTTCAGTAAACCAGGTGATGCTGATGAGAGCGAGTCTGTTCATGCAGTTCTAGCCGAGGGCTTTGCAAAGTTCCTCCTTTTGAGTGAGAACTACCCGAGCATTTCTGTTTCTTCACATCCTATACTCTTGGCCAAGCTAATTAATCTTTATTTCAGTCGCAAAACGGCTGAGTGGCAGAGGTTCATAGTTTTTTTTCTTCTTAGTTTTGATATTATTAACATTTCCTAAACTATGCAGCACTAATACGGTTCTTTGTATGAGTAGGTTAAAGCAGTGCCTCTCCGTGTTCTTTGAGCATTATCCATCCCTTTCGGTGAATCACAAGGCAAGTGAAGCATATAATTCTAGATTCCTGAATCGTCGTTATTTTCAGAGTCCTTAATTTTAAACTATGCATCTTTTTCTATTTGTACAGAAATGTATCTGCAAGGCTTTCCTTCCTGTCATGCGTTCAATGTGGCCTGGCATCGACGGCAGTACGGGTGGGTCAAACGTGACTCTATCTAACAGGCGGAAGCATGCAATCCAAGCTTCTCGGTTTATGCTGCAGATGTTACAGGCTCCATTATATCCAAAGGAGATTGACCAGCCGGATGAAAATGTCAACAAAAACTCGCCGGAGCAACTTCATGATCCCACTAATTCTTCGAATAACTTTGATTTTGGAGAAGAAGGGCTTGCTATATGTATTGCTTCTGAGGTACTTCATAAACACACTTTTACACTTCATGATTACCTATTTATACATAATTAGCCTTTCTTTCTTTCTTTCTTTCTTTCTTTCTTTTTCTCAGTGAGTTATTTATGCATTGTTTTTTAAGCAACGTATATTCAAGTTTGTGGAAATGTGTTTGTAAGAATGGTTGAAAGGAAGAAAGATTTCTGTCATTATTGTTTCCGCCAACTGTAAACATAATTGTTTGCCTAACGTTGTTCATCCAAGCTTTCTTTCCCTTATTGCAAATTTTTTCGTACTTGTAAGACTTTTTGGAATAAAATTTGCACAATTCTTGATGGATATTTTGTCATGTGTTTCAGGTTCTGAGTTTCCAGAAGAAAAAAACTGCTGCAGAGAGATCCTATGTTTCTGCTATCTCTAAAATACTTGTATTGCTTCGTTTTCGGCCACCAGAACAAGGGGCCATCAAGTTAATGAGGAGGCTCATGAACCGTGTTGCTGAATCTGTATCAGCGGATAAGGAGATTGTTAAGGAGGTCAAACGAATGGCTGAACATCTTAAGGCATTAGATGGGTCCCCTGATGAACCATTGCCGGCAGAGCAAGCTAATCTTTTGTTAGGTAACTAACTTTTTTCAAAGTTTTGTAATTTTAATTAGAGGCAGTCGTGAACAGAGAAGTTGGATGTAGAACTAATAATCTACTTCATGTTTAACAGAGAAGTTGGATGTAGAACTGAATATTGATGATGATGAGTCTTCTTCCCTTGAGGTTGAGCCTACACCATTGCCGCCGAAGGCTAGCAGACCAGTGCGAGGAAGGAGACGTGCAAGGCAGGAAGTAGAATCTTCTTGTTCCTCCGATGAAGACGAAACATTACAACAGATTGTCGTTCCTACTACTAATCCTAGCGTTCGATCGCAAAGAGCTAGCAAGTCTGCAGCATTGTCAAAATTAGCTTCTAGCAATAAACCTGTCAAGATTAATGATGATGATGAGGATGAAGATGAAGATGAAGAATCAGAGGTTACATCGGAGGATGATTCCGATTGAATATGTTAAAACATGTAAGTTGGTTATGTAGATGTGAAAATGAGTATGATTTTCATGAAAACGATGTCGTTTTGGTTAAATATATAGTCTGTTTGTGAAGTGGGACGATTGAAACATGTTGTATGTTGTAATCATGCAAAGCGTTGATAAGTGATCACTATGTAAATCAGCCAGTGGTAGGAACTATGTAGTGGTGATTCTTTAAATGCATGTTATACCAAAAAGATATTTTTTAGTTAAGTACTGTTCGTTTTTCAGTTTTTATCAAATTGTATTTTTTAGTTAATTTTAATTAGATTAATTGTTAAAGTAAATGATTTACTTTTAAAAGAGAAAAGTTTAAAAATATCCAATAGACTTTAGTGTTTGAAATAATTAAATTTTTAGATAATTTTTTGGAACAAATAAGCTTTTAAACATTCCAAAATTTGTTAAATAATTTCTTAGACTTTCTAAATCTATTAGATACATTTTTATAACTTATAAAACTGATTAATGTGGTAAAATAATGGAAAAAACTGAAAAAAAAACCAATCGATTTTTATATTTTGAGCGATTAAGTCCCTAAATATTTTTTAAACCAAAAAGTACTTACATATATAAAATGAAATAAATATACAAAAAAGTACTTATATTTAAAAAAGATTATATATAAAATTTATTTTAATAAAAAAATATTATGTCAGTGATTTTCCAAAATAAA